AAGGAGGGGTGTTAATGTTGCAGTTTTATAACTGTAGTGTAAAGCACCCTTCTGGCAAGACAGTGATGGAGTGAATGATGATGAAAGTTTTTCTTTTTCGGGCCACCCTGCCTTGGTGGGAATCAGCCGATGTGTTAATAATAAAATTAAAAATTGAAATGACAACTGAAACACAACTCATACAAAGTTATTCACAGGATCATCATTGGTCATTATCTTCAGACATAAATCATACAGTAAATTTGAGGATTAAAGTTATAAATGCAGCCTCCAGCACAAGTTGAAGGAGCTAGACAGATACAGACAGACAGACACATACACACACACCAGAAGGCACACACATACACACACACCAGGAAGCATGCACATGCACCAGAAGACACAGACAGACACAAACACACACACAGATGAACACCCAGTCTCTCCTGAGGAGCTAATGAAATTATTTGAAGGCTACACAAATCATGTGGCAGTGACCAGGTTCATGAATTCTAGTCTCACAGCCCAGCCTGAGGACACACTTTCCATGTGTGTGTGTGATGAATGGTTTTGAAAACCGACAAGTTGAAGATTGAGACACTTATGCAACATATGTTGCATAAGTGTCTCAATCTTCACACTTTCCATGTGACTGACTGATCAATCAAACACTTGCTGCCCATTGTCTACATAGCCTTTGAGTACAGTCGCCACTACAAATTCATGAACAATTGCATTCCTAGAGGTTGCTTGAAACTCCAAACAGTGAATAATACAAAAGTAAACTAGAAAAAAGTAATAAGATTTGTATTAAAGTTTTTTTTGAGAGGTCATTCATAAGTCTAAAATACATCATTCTTATCAGGTTCTTGTTGACAATCATAATGAAAAAATTATCAGAATACAGAGACTTAGGTATGGTAAGGCCATAGTGCCAGAAAAGCCTTGGATAATTTCATCTGCTCATTGGTTTACAATCAGTAAAAAATGTTGCATAATAAAAACTCAGGATTTTGTAGAGATAACTGAACAGTGGATCATAACTGTGCAGTATAGTGGATCATGACTGTGCAGTACAGTGGATCATGACTGTGCAGTATAGTGGATCATGACTGTGCAGTACAGTGGATCATGACTGTGCAGTACAGTGATCATAACTGTACAGTACAGTGGATCATAACTGTGCAGTACAGTGGATCATGACTGTACAGTACAGTGATCATAACTGTACAGTACAGTGGATCATAACTGTACAGTACAGTGGATCATGACTGTGCAGTACAGTGGATCATGACTGTGCAGTACAGTGATCATAACTGTACAGTACAGTGGATCATAACTGTGCAGTACAGTGGATCATGACTGTACAGTACAGTGATCATAACTGTACAGTACAGTGGATCATAACTGTGCAGTACAGTGGATCATGACTGTACAGTACAGTGATCATAACTGTACAGTACAGTGGATCATGGAAATAAATGGTATAAAATACTGACACAATGGAAATATAAACACATATGCAGTATAATGTGATCCTTTATTTACAATGTTTCGCCCACACAGTGGGCTTTTTTAAGTCACACACAGATCTGTGTGTGACTTGAAAAAGCCCACTGTGTGGGCAAAACGTTGTCAATAAAGGATCACATTATACTGCATATGTGTTTATATTTCCACAGTGGATCATAACTGTACAGTACAGTGGATCATAACTGTACAGTACAGTGATCATAACTGTACAGTACAGTGATCATAAACGTACAGTACAGTGATCATAACTGTACAGTACAGTGATCATAACTGTACAGTATAGTGGATCATAACTGTACAGTACAGTGATCATAACTGTACAGTACAGTGATCATAACTGTACAGTACAGTGATCATAACTGTACAGTATAGTGGATCATAACTGTACAGTATAGTGATCATAACTGTACAGTACAGTGATCATAACTGTACAGTACAGTGGATCATAACTGTACAGTATAGTGGATCATAACTGTACAGTACAGTGATCATAACTGTACAGAACAGTGATCATAACTGTACAGTACAGTGGATCATAACTGTACAGTACAGTGATCATAACTGTACAGTACAGTGATCATAACTGTACAGTACAGTGATCATAACTGTACAGTACAGTGGATCATAACTGTACAGTATAGTGATCATAACTGTACAGTACAGTGATCATAACTGTACAGTACAGTGATCATAACTGTACAGTACAGTGGATCATAACTGTACAGTACAGTGATCATAACTGTACAGTACAGTGGATCATAACTGTACAGTACAGTGATCATAACTGTACAGTACAGTGATCATAACTGTACAGTACAGTGATCATAACTGTACAGTACAGTGATCATAACTGTACAGTACAGTGATCATAACTGTACAGTACAGTGATCATAACTGTACAGTACAGTGGATCATAACTGTACAGTATAGTGGATCATAACTGTACAGTACAGTGGATCATAACTGTACAGTACAGTGGATCATAACTGTACAGTATAGTGGATCATAACTGTACAGTACAGTGGATCATAACTGTACAGTACAGTGGATCATAACTGTACAGTACAGTGGATCATAACTGTACAGTACAGTGGATCATAACTGTACAGTACAGTGGATCATAACTGTACAGTACAGTGATCATAACTGTACAGTACAGTGGATCATAACTGTACAGTACAGTGGATCATAACTGTACAGTACAGTGGATCATAACTGTACAGTACAGTGGATCATAACTGTACAGTATAGTGGATCATAACTGAACAGTATAGTGGATCATAACTGTACAGTACAGTGGATCATAACTGTACAGTACAGTGGATCATAACTGTACAGTACAGTGGATCATAACTGTACAGTACAGTGATCATAACTGTACAGTACAGTGATCATAACTGTACAGTACAGTGATCATAACTGTACAGTACAGTGATCATAACTGTACAGTATAGTGGATCATAACTGTACAGTACAGTGATCATAACTGTACAGTACAGTGATCATAACTGTACAGTACAGTGATCATAACTGTACAGTATAGTGGATCATAACTGTACAGTATAGTGATCATAACTGTACAGTACAGTGATCATAACTGTACAGTACAGTGGATCATAACTGTACAGTATAGTGGATCATAACTGTACAGTACAGTGATCATAACTGTACAGTACAGTGATCATAACTGTACAGTACAGTGGATCATAACTGTACAGTACAGTGATCATAACTGTACAGTACAGTGATCATAACTGTACAGTACAGTGATCATAACTGTACAGTACAGTGGATCATAACTGTACAGTACAGTGATCATAACTGTAACAGTACAGTGATCATAACTGTACAGTACAGTGATCATAACTGTACAGTACAGTGGATCATAACTGTACAGTACAGTGATCATAACTGTACAGTACAGTGATCATAAACTGTACAGTACAGTGATCATAACTGTACAGTACAGTGATCATAACTGTACAGTACAGTGATCATATCTGTACAGTACAGTGATCATAACTGTACAGTACAGTGATCACAACTGTACAGTACAGTGATTATAACTGTACAGTACAGTGATCATAACTGTACAGTACAGTGATCATAACTGTACAGTACAGTGGATCATAACTGTACAGTATAGTGGATCATAACTGTACAGTACAGTGGATCATAACTGTACAGTACAGTGGATCATAACTGTACAGTATAGTGGATCATAACTGTACAGTACAGTGGATCATAAACTGTACAGTACAGTGGATCATAACTGTACAGTACAGTGGATCATAACTGTACAGTACAGTGGATCTAACTGTACAGTAAGTGGATCATACTGTACAGTAAATGATCAAACTGCAGTACAGTGGAACATACTGACAGTACAGGGATCATAGTCGTATAGGGGCATACTGTAAAGTACAGTGGTCATAATGTACAGTACTGGGTATAACTGTCGTAAGTGGGGTCATCTGTACAGTACAGTGGGGCTACGTACATAATACATCGTTCAGTACATGATTAAACTGTCATTAAAACACTGTACAGTAAATGGGAAAAATGTACAGTAATGTACTGTACAGTAATTGATACGACGTAAGTGGATCATACTGTTCAGTAATGGGTCATATGTAAGTAATTTTATCATACTGTACATATACATAAATGTACGTAAGGACATATGTACAGAAAGATTTACTGAAAATTTTAAATGGATCATCTGACGTAAGTGGGCATACTGTACAGTAAGTGGGTCAGAATGACTAAGTGGATCAGATGCAGTAAGTGATCATACTGACGTATGTGGGCATACTGACGTAAGTGGATTACTGTACAGTACGTATTAAAACTGTACATATAGTGGATCTACTGTCGTAAGTGGATCATATGGGTTGCAGTAATAGTGGATCATACTGTACGGGAAGTGGATCATACTTTCAGTAAGGTCAACTGTCAGTAAGTTCATACTGTAAAATAAGTGATCATACTGTCAGTAAGTGGGTCATACTGTTTCAGTAATTTGGTCATACGTCATATGTGGATCATAAATTTGTATATTTGGGTCATGCGACAGATAGTGGATCAGATGTACAGTAAGTGGTCATTTAAATGTACGTAAGGGTAAACTGTACAGTAATGGAAAAATTAAGTACGTATATGGGGATCATTATGTACAGTATACGGAATCAGACGTACAGTATGTGGGTCAAATGTCATCGTATATAATGTCAGTAAGTGGGTCTATGCAGTAAGTGGGTAAACTGTACATATAGGGATATTACTGTACGATAGTGGATCATTAAATGACAGTTAAATGGGTCATACGTACAGTAAGGGTCATACGTACAGTTTTAATGGATTTAAATGTCAGTTTCAGTTATATACTGTACAGTAAGTGGGTCATAAATAACAGTAAAAATTCAACAACAAAAATTCATAGGGGTACTGTCAGTTGAGCAATTTCCCCTCATATTCTTAATTCAGAATTGTAATAAATTTCATTATGGTTAGGTGTTAATTAATTTATACATGAGCTGTGTAAGTGATCACTAAGCATATAATTGCATGCAGTAGACAGCTCTTACATCATCTCCACAGTGGTATTGCCTCTAATGTATTATTTAAAAGGAGGCACAAGGTGAAAGTGGTCAACACAGGAGAAGAGCCAACTGAGAGGCAGAGACTTGATGTGTGCCATGTCATACTTGAGCTGTGGCTCACAGCTACCTTCTTGGTATATAATGTAGTGGGAACAATGACTCAGCAAACCTTCAGCATCGCTGTAAAATGGTACTGTCTTCTCCTTTTCCGATATGCCTTCGGGGTTGGGTTCTCGAGCCAAGACTATTCCACCACCTGCTTTAATAAGTGCCTCAACATCCTTCTTACTTGGGTAAGGGTTGCAAAAATTACCCCACAGGAACATATGGCATCCATTAAAAAGTCCAGGACACTGAAAAGCAAAAAAAAGTCAGTTATTTCAATTGTATTGTATTGTAGGAGGTTCGCCAATCTTGTCCCAGCCCGGGTCTTTTCCAGATGGTGACCCGGCGAGTTAATTCAATATATCATTAAATTACACAGAAATATACTTAATTATTAATGCCATAAAACTATATTAACCCTTTAAGGGTCCGTCCTGTAGTTCTACGGCTTTGAAGCCTGGGTCCAAGCTGTAGTACTACGTCATATGCTCATCTCACTCAGATAAGCTGTGAATGGTAAATCTGGGCCTAGATATAAGAGAATGCATCTATGTGGTAAGTGTGCACCATATAAAACAAACCCTGCAGCACACAGTGGATAATGAAAAAAAACTGCGACCATGTTTTTGGATTAAAACAGTGACTGTGGTGTATTTTTGTATAGTTTTTATGGTTGTATTCGCAGTTTCTTGGTCTTATTTGGCAGAATGGAAGATATATTACAGAAATAGAGATGATTCTGATTGGCTTTAGTACTGAAAATAGCTTGAAATTGAGCTCAAAGTAGCAGAAATGTTCGATTTTTGCCAATGTTATAAACAAATGATGTCACGCGTCTAATACATGTCAACCGGTGGGTCTAATATATCTTTGTGAATGTGCTGATATTATTCATACAATTATTACAATATTGCACTACAGTAAATCTTCTATTTTTTGGTGTGAATAAAAATTCTTTGTGAATAAAAAATCAAAATGGAATTCATCTGAAAAGCCTGGAAACGTAACTAATAAACAGTGGAAATGTTATTTTAGTACCAAGAATGCCTGCATTGTTTATTCTGGACCCTATTTTCAAACTGGAATACAGTGCCTTAACTTACGAGTTTAATTCGTTCCGTGACTGAGCTCGTAACTCAATTTGCTCGTAAATCAAATAAATTTTCCTTGCTGAAATTAACTAAAATGCCATTAATTCATTTCAGTCCCCCAAAAACCACCCCAATTTTTTTTGCTATGGGGCTTTAAATAAGAAAATGTATTTATAAATAAGAAATTATTTTTGCCTTTTTTGCCAGGTCCCAGCAATGTTTTAGAAATGCTGGAGTATACATGTATATGAAACTCCTTGAAGCATGGTGTAAGATGAGTGTCACTCCACTGCTGACAGTGCAACAGTGGAGTGACATTTGATGATCGTGCATTTGCTTTGGTCTTATTTTTCACTGTTACACATAAACATGTCTGTCTATCTGTTTGTTTCTGTCTATCTGCCTGTCTATCTAATTCTATCTGCCTATTTATCTATCTGTCTAGCTCTGTCTATGTTTATCTCTGTCTCTGCTTATCTGTCTTTCTGTCTGCCTGTGTTTCTGCCTTCCTGTCTCTCTACTTGTCTCTGTGTCTCAGAGAGAGAGCCATACTTGGTCTGGATTTTTTGGGTTATGCTAAGTAATTTACACTATGAATAACTGTATTTATGTGTACCTGTGAGATAGAGACAGAGATAGACAGAGACAGAGATGGACAGAGACAGAGATAGACAGTGATAGAGACAGAGATAGATACAGACAGACAGAAGGAGATAAGAGACAGCCAAAGCAAATCAGCCAGCCAGCCAGCTGCCAGCCAGCCAACCGACCAGCCAGCCAGCTGGCCACCCAACTAGCCAGCCTGCCAAACTTGTATTACACATGTTCCAGAATTGTTTCTCTTTACTTAGGGCATATGTTATAGAACATTAGGCAGGGTGACATTACCAGTGGTATCAAAATTGAAGGATGTGACACACTGGTTATTATCAAGGTTTCTGATATTTCCTTGGTATCTCCTGTGAGGGGCAGCATATTTGAAGCTCGCTCATAACTCAGATTTTGGCTCGCAACTCAAAGCAAAAAATCGACCGAGTGATGGCTCGTAACTTGGAAAACTCGTAAGTTGTGGCATTCGTAAGTCAAGGTACCACTGTATTTTGAACTTTGTGTGAAACTGGCCAAATTACCAATTTTTGATCACTTTATTGGGTAACTGAAATACTTGATTGGGCAGTTTCTTGTGCTCACTCGATAAAATAGAAGTGATAATAGTGAAATAGATAAGAATTTGGTCGACTGGAATAATGTAGTTGGCCTAAAATAGGAGTCAGAGTGGGCAAAATTGCTGTTGCGTAAATATCGCTGATGCAGTAAAATTCATGAGTGTAATTTTGTCAAATTTCCATTAAAATTTCGTACTTTTTGTTTTATTACCTCCAGAAAAAGATTCTCTACCATTTCATAAGAAAAAAACAATTTTTTTTTTCTGAAAATTCTTGAACCCTGTGGATAAAGCATAGAACTACAGGATGGACCCTTAAAGGGTAAATATCATTAGGAAAAGAATTGTATACCATTTTTTCAGCATTCTGTCTGGCTTTAACAGGTACACCACTGACACTGTTATTACAGGAACCAAGAACTTCATAATGCAGAGGATTAACTGCCAGTTCTTGGGAGAGGCAAGCATCCATCCCTGAAAACAAAAATAATAAAAAATATTTAATCTCTCAATAAATTAATTGAATGCAATGACTCAACAGCTGCATCAGACTTTCATTAATAACCCTTCATAAACTGATCAAGCCTACTTTACAGCAAAGCATCTAATTAACACACTAATAGGGGAGAGGGGAGTGTACATTACTGTTCATTGTACATTATTCTCAAATTATGAAATCTGTTTTTTGTGATGGTTGGTTCTGGAGACACTACTGGACTCATACAACACTAACACATTTGTCCAGCAAGTTATTTTGTCTGAAATTTCTGAAAGCTGTTAAATGTGGGTCTAATCATTAATTAGAAGTTTTTACTTTACAAAGTGTAATAGTGTTTATTTTGTACTGCTGACTTACATGGGACATACAGAGCAAGCATTGTTCTCAGTAATACACTAACCCTTTGACTGTTTCGGCTGTATATATATACAGTGGACCCCCGCATACCGTATGCATCGCATACCGTACAATCCGCATACCGATCGCTTTGATCGCAAAAATTTAGCCTCGCATACCGCCCAAAAACCCGCTCACCGCCCTTCATCCGAGACGCGTCCAATGTGCGGCCTGAGCCACGCTCACATGTTCCGCCGGTGGCATTGTTTACCAGCCAGCCTCCGCGGTAACATCCAAGCATACAATCGGAACATTTCGTATTATTACAGCGCTTCTGGTGATTTTTTCGGGAAAATAAGTGACCATGGGCCCCAAGAAAGCTTCTAGTGCCAACCCTACAGCAATAAGGGTGAGAATTACTATAGAGATGGAGAAAAAGATCATTGATAAGCATGAAAGTGGAGTGCGTGTCTCCGAGCTGGCCAGGTTGTATAATAAACCCCAATCAACCATCGCTACTATTGGTGGTACAGCTGCTGCTGCTGCTGTACCACCGTCAGCTGCTGCTGCACTGTCAGCTGCTGCTGCACTGTCAGCTGCTGCTGCTGTTGTACCACCGTCAGCTGCTGCTGCTGCTGTAGTACCGTCTGCTGCTGCTGTAGCATCGTCTGCTGCTGCTGTAGCATCGTCTGCTGCTGCTGTAGCATCGTCTGTTGTTGCTGTAGCATCGTCTGCTGCTGCTGTAGCATCGTCTGCTGCTGCTGTAGCATCGTCTGCTGCTGCTGTAGCATCGTCTGTTGCTGCTGTAGCATCGTCTGCTGCTGCTGTAGCATCGTCTGTTGCTGCTGTAGCATCGTCTGTTGCTGCTGTACCACCGTCAGCTGCTGCTGCTGCTGTAGCACCGTTGTTGGTGTGGCTTATTGAGAATACCAAGAAACAATTAACCCCAGAGGATTTGCCACCCAGGATAACCCAAAAAAGTCAGTGTCATCGAAGACTGTCTAACTTATTTCCATTGGGGTCCTTAATCTTGTCTCCCAGGATGCAACCCACACCAGTCGACTAACACCCAGGTGAACAGGGAAAAATGCCTGGAACTAGTGCTCATATTGGTGAATTTAAAGCCAGCAAAGGTTGGTTTGAGAGATTTAAGAATCGTAGTGGCATACACAGTGTGATAAGGCCTGTTCTGGAAGAAAATGCCAAACAGGACCTACAGTACTCAGGAGGAAAAGGCACTCCCAGGACACAGTGTCTCATCAGTCATTGCTGCATCTTCAATAAAGGTAAGTGTCATTTATTCTTCATTTAGTAGAGTAGTACATGCACAATATATATTGTGCATGTACTACTCTACTATTGTGCATGTATCCTTCTCTTTGTGTGTAGGAAAATGTATATTTCATTTGGTAAAATTTTTTTTTTCATACTTTTGGGTGTCTTGCACGGATTAATTTGATTTCCATTATTTCTTATGGGGAAAATTCATTCGCATACCGAACATTTCGCATAACAACCAGCCCTCTTGCACGAATTAACCCTTTCAGGGTCCAAGGCCCAAATCTGGAGTCACGCACCAGTGTCCAAGATATTTCAAAAAAAAAAATTTGTTATTTTCTCTTATGAAATCGTAGAGAATCTTTTTGTGAAGGTAATAAAACAAAAAGTACGAAAATTGGTGGAAAATTGACGAAATTATGCTCTCGCGAATTTTGATGTGTCAGCGATATTTACGAATCGGCGATTTTGCCGACTTTGACTCCCATTTTAGGCCAATTACATTATTCCAATCAACCAAATTCTTAGCTATTTCACTAGTATTACTTCTATTCTATCGATTGAGCACAAGAAATCGCCAAGTCAACTGTTTCAACTACAAAATAAAGTGATCGGAAATTGTTAATTTGGCCAATTTAACACAAAGTTCAAAATATTTCAATTTCAAAATAGGGTCCAGAATGAACAATGTAGGCATTCCTGGCACTAAACTAACATTTCCTCTGTTCATTAGTTATGTTTTGAGGCTTTACAAATAAATTCCATTTTGATTTTTTATTCACATAATGAATTTTTATTCACACCATAAAATGGAAGATTTACTGTTATGCAATACTGTAATAATTGTATAAATATCATCACCATATTTGTGAATGTATATTAGACCCACCAGATGGCGTATATTAGACGTGTGAGGTCGTTTGTTTACTCTTGAATATCGGCAAAAATTTAACATTTCCGCTACTTTGAGCTCAGTTTCAAGCCATTTCCAATGCTAAAACCAATCAAAATAATCTCTATTTCTGTAATATGTCTTCCATTCTATCAAATGAGACCAAGAAATCGCAAATACAACTATAAAAAACATACGAAAAAACACTGCAAAGTTGCTGTTTTAATCGAAAAATCATGATTTCATTTTTTTTCTCTCATTATGCACAGTGTGCTGCAGGATCTGTTTTATGTGGTGCACACATACCACATAGATGTATTCTCTCATATCTAGGCCCAAATGTACCACTCACAGTTTATCAGAGTGAGCTGAGCTCATGGCGTAGATCTACGGTTTGGACCCTGAACATAAAGCCGTAGATCTACGGGACGGACCCTGAAAGGGTTAAGGTTGCTATTCGGGGGTCCACTGTATATGTCTTACGAGCCAATGTTTCCGACATATTAATATGCGTAAAGTCTAGCAGCTTCCAATCAAGCGGGAGAAAACTGGTAGGCCCATATGTGAGAGAATGGGTCTCCATGGTCAGTGTGCACACTACAAAAAAAATCGGGGAGCCAGTGGTGCATTGTGGGAATGCCATTTCGGTAGTCCTTGTTCAGCATGCCTAGCAGTAAGGAATATCTGACTCTGCGGCGAATCTGGGCCTCTTCTCTTCCCAAGTGACAGATCTAACACAGATGGAAGTGTCAGTGAAGATGAATTTTATGGTTTTGAGGAGTTTGTGACCGAAAGCAATGCCCAGGATACCAGAAGAAAGAAAGAGAAGGAAGAAGAATGAGAAAGGAGAAAGAATGAGAAAAAAGAGAATGAAAGAGAAATAGAAAGGAGAAAGATTGAAAAAAGGAGAAAGAAAAAGAAAAAGAGAAAGAAAGAGAAAGAAAAAGAGAAAGAAAGAGGAAAAAGAGAAAGAAGGAGAAAGAAAAAGAGAAAGAAGGAGAAAGAAAAAGAGAAAGAAAGAGAAAAAAGAGAAAGAAGGAGAAAGAAGAAGAAAGAAGGAGAAAGAAAGAAAGAAATAATTAGGTAGGGAGGATGGTGGGGAAGCAAGCATAGGACCCCATTGTGTTGACAGGTAGTAGGGGGAGTGAGTAATTATATAATATGTCATTTTGACAGCTGCCAGACACTGACTCAGCACATTTAGAAGTCCCCCCCCCACACACACACACACAATATCATAGAAACCATAGGAAAGGAAAGAATGAAGAAAGGAAGAAAGAATGAAGAAAGAAAGAAAGAAAGAAAGAAAGAAAGAAAGAAACAAAGAAAGGATGGGACCACCTCTACTAGTGGTCAAGAGAAGGCGGACCTCTTTGCTGAACACTTTGCTACCAAAATGCAAGTTCCTGATCCAGCAAGGGACCCTCCTTGGCTAGCTGCAAGAACAGTGTCAAAACTGTCAGTGGTGACAATAAAGCAGGAGGAGGTGCATTTCCTTCTTAAATCGCTTGACCAAGAAAAGGCTGTGGGCCCAGACAGTTGAGCCCAAGATTGCTGAGAAGATGTGCAGACCAGCTAGCAGCACCCCTAACTCGCATCTTTCAGCACTGCCTAGTACAGTGTAAATGGCCCTCTCTATGGAAAGAGGCAAATGTAGTCCCTGTTCACAAAAAGAAGAGCAGAGCAGAAATCAGCAACTACAGACCAGTGTCACTCCTGTCAATCACTGGTAAGATCCTTGAGACAATAATCTCAAGACAAATGACAGAGTTATTTGACTACCACTCACTACTTTGTGATCGTCAAATATGGCTTCAGGAAAGGTTACTCTGCTGCTGATCTGTTGTTAAACCTCTCCACTAAGTGGCATCAGTCACTGGATGAATCCAAAGTCAGCTGTGTGGTAGCACTAGACATTGCTGGCACTTTCGACCGGGTATGGCACCAGGGCCTCTTAGCAAAACTTCAAGCACTGGGAATTGCAGGCTCTATGCTATGTCTCCTCAGTGATTACCTTCATGGTAGATCTCTAAGTGTAGTTCTCAATGGAACGGAATCAGCAAGACATCCTATTGGGGCAAGTGTTCCACAAGGAAGCGTGCTGGGACCATTGTTATGGAATGTCTACTTCAATGACCTTCATCTCATCCCAGAATCACATGCATATGCAGACAACTGTACACTGACATTCACTTATCCAAGAGAAGAAATGCCAACTGCTCTAAGCTACATCAATCACCAGCTAAGAGTTATAGCAGCTTGGGGAAATAGATGGCAAGTAACATTTGCACCTGAGAAAACGCAAATGATGATCGTCTCTAGGCACCATGATGGTAATGCTGGTGCAGTAGTAAGGATGAATGGGAGGGTGTTGGCACCTGGAGAAGAAGTTGATATCCTTGGGGTGAAATCTGACTCCAAACTAACCATGAAGAACCATGTTATAAATCTTGCAAACAAGGCAGCCAG